CTTTTTTTATTACTTATTCTCATATCCTAGAAAATTTTTAATATTACCACAAGTTAATATGCAATTTGAACCTTAAATTTTTAAAAAAGTGTATTATGAACTCTAAACAATTAAAGTTGAAACAATTTTGCCCCTACTATTAATTTTCAACAAATGTTTGTCAAATTAAGGCCTAAAGTGTAATTTTTTTCAAATGAATTTGACGGACATTTATTGAAAGTTAAAGGTAGGGGTAAAATTTTTTTAATTTTAATTGTTTAGGATTTAGTATACACCTTTTTAAAGTTTAGGGTTTAAATTATCCCTAAACTTATAGTTCAGGATTTAAATTACATATTAACCCTTAAATATATTATGTTGTTATCCACTTTAATATCACGAATAGGTTTGAATTTGATGACTGTATTTAGTACAAGTATTGAGTGCTTATATCATCTAAATCATTGAAATTCAGATTAACGGTTCAAATAAATTCACTCATTCATTAATCTTAAGTGAAGTATAAATTTATAACCATTGATTTTAACTTTAACGGTTCAAATGGTATAAATACTCAGTACCTAATCACCGAATCCAAATCCATCACAAACTTGATTGATTATAGAGGTGGATTGCTAAATTACAACCTGTCTATTTTTTCTGCTAACTACAACCTCTCTTTCTCTCTCTAATTTTTTTATGGTTTTTGGTTGTGAGGCGCAGAAACAATTGAGCATGTTTTTTGTAATTGCCCCTTCCATAGAACTCTTTGGTTTGGTGCCTTTTTTATTTGATCTACCACTATCTTTGAATTAATGCTCATTACTTGTATCCTTCAAGTTCCGAAAGTTTTATTCCAAAACCAAGAAACAGATTTTCTTGAGGGTATTTTTACCCTAATCCATAAAATTTGATATAGGATAAATCTACTTCTTCATAATGAAAAAACTGTCATAGTGGAGTAACTCATTCAAGAAATTAAGAAAGAGCTAAAATTCTTGAAAATTGCATGCAACTTGAATTTCAATCAACAAATTGTTCCTCCAACTAGAGACTTGCAGATCTCTAAAGTCGAGGATTTTGTTCAACAATCAACAAATTCAAGAAAAGGAAAAAGTAAAAATATGTTTAAATTAATGAGGATTTAGCTTTGAATTTGAACTGAATTCTTCATTTCAATATACAAAAATTTATAATTTTGGATTTGATTCAAATCCAAATTAATTTAAAATTATAATTTTTTTGTAATCTCAAATTCTTTTTACACTTTAATCATTTAAAATTTTAATTTTTTCAAATATTCCGTTCTCCTTACATTTTTACTATTAGTATCTTTATGACTCTTATATCATTTTTCATCTTTTATCGATTAAAAAATATATAAATAAACTTATGATTTTTAATTTTTAATTTTTAGTTTGAATCTCAATTTATTTTTCTTCTTCATTTAAAATTTTTTAAACTACTCAATTAAAAAATTTTACATATATCAATTTTAAATATAAGATTTAGAATGTAAAATTTTAAATTTTAAATTTAAATCTAAATTCATCAATCTAAATGCTGTCTTACTGTTTTGTGGAAATCTCTCTCAATGGTAAAAACCTTCAACGCGTTCTACTGGTCATGCTCATGCGTTCGTCCTCCGCCTTTCTATCTATAACTTTTGGAGGAGTAAGTGTAGTTCTATAGTATACTTGGGAAGCTGGTTATGAAGTTCAATGGCGGCCATTTTCTCTCTCCCAAAAGTCAATGTTCGATAATCCCAAGATATCAACATTTTGTGAGTATGTTTTTAAATTATCAGTTTTTGAAGTGTGGCTCAATTAAGCCACCATTTAGTTTCTCCTAATTTTCCTTGCATGACTACCACTTTATGACCTCATTTTCATTTTTTTTTGGTTAATATATTTGACCTTTTGACATAAAAAAGCACTTTTCTGTTTTGTTTAAAATTAGTCACTTAAATTGACTATAAGTTATAAAATTATTCTCAGTTACATTATTTTCTTCTAATTTAGAACAGATATATTTTTTATTTTAATTTTTGTCCTCATATCAATTTTTATTATGTAAAGATATCTTTTTATCCAAAGCTAGTTTACTCGAGGTATAGTTTGATGCTAAATATAACATCAATTAAGTGCCTGTTTGGTTAAGAAAATAATTAATTTTTTAAGTTAAAAAATCAATTAATAAAAAAAAACCCAAACATCATCATTTGCCATTAATCAATTCTTGATGTTAAAATAATTTTTTTTAGAGCTGTATTTGTGAGCTTATGTGAAAATGCTGATAAAAAGCATTGGCAAAAATTACAAAGAAAGACCTAAGAAAAAAATTATAAAAAAGATATAAAATTTAATAAAAAACCAAATTCTCTTCTCTTCTCTATTTTTTTTAGTAAAATTTAAACTTTAAATCCCTAAAAAAGTTATTACTATGAGTTCCTGTCAACCACAACCCTCCACTTAAATGAATTTAAATAAAATATTGATTGGTTGGGAAAAATTAATTTAATTTAATTTAAATTTTAGGGTCATTAAAAAAATTGTTACAAAAGTCCAGAGAGAGAGAGAGAGAGATTTTATATCATTTGTTACATTACTATATTTTTTATGTTGTCAAAATTTTAAGATTGTGCTTAACATTTTTATCAGATATGATTTCTATCCATGATATCATTAGAGATCAATTTGTATATTATCATTTTCATTAGTTACTATAAAATTAATCTTTTGATATTTAAGAATTAAATCTTTCTCTTTTACTAAATTTATTTAAATTAAGATATATTGAGTTATTTATTTACATAAATTAAATTGCTAATATTAATATAATTTAAATTTTTATAATTAATCAGGTATGTAATTTAAATAATATATTTTACATCTTAAATAAAATTTAACAAATTTAATAATATTAGATATAAATTTATCAGTAATTTAATTTTGAAAAGCAATGCATTTCATAGTAATTTACACAGTTAAAATTGATTCTGAATAAATTATCCAAACATATTCAATTTTGTTAAAATTAATTTTTAAAAAAATAGTATCTAAATATTTTGCGTTATAATATAATAAATTATAATTAAAATTAATATTTTTATAATTAATTATACCCAACTGAAATCCAAATGGACACTAAGTCATTCTACCCATTTAGCATCATTAAAAATATAACTTTTTAATTTTTTCATTCTGTACCATTAATAGTTATAATAAATTATTGGACAAGAACTTAAATCATAACAAATAAATAAGAGGTAAAATTAAAAAATTACTCTAACCATGTCTTATATTGATGATTAAAAATTTTTTTAAAATTTTATCTTATATTAAGGACATATGAGAGTATACTATTAGGGATGTTTTCAAACAAGCATTTTTTTTCCCAGCTTTTTTCAACTTACTATTCACTTCAATCCAAAATATAAACAGTTTTTAATAATAAATTGTATACAAATAAAATTTTTTATTCTCATAAAAAATATATTATTTTTTATTTTTATTTTTAGTTTCAATTTATGATGAGTGAGAAAAAATTATAAATTCACAGACACAATAATTTAGGTTAATAAATACAATAAACAAAAAGTGAAGCTCTTTCTTTTGTTTTTTGTTTTTTAACAAATACCAAGTTGGTTTATATTGTACCAAGATTATACTTAATCTAGGTTAGAAAATTGCATGTGCTTCCTTTGAAGCATCTTCTAGGGGCCTTGTTTTGTCCAAAATATAGGATATTGAGTAACTTTAAAGTTATTTTTTAACTATATTCCTACTTCATTTATTACTCTTTTTAAAAAAATAAGACATTAGAATTTTAATTATTAATGAGAGAAAAATTAGAAAAATGTAATTTTTTTTAAAAATTAAGGTTTCAACTAATATTTTTTAAAAATATTAAATTAGTTATCAATGCCTTATATTTTGCTTTAGAGGAAGTATTTTGGATCAGAGGGAGTATATTGTAAATGCTTTTTCTCTTCCCTTTTATTATAGGAATTGGAAATTACCTACCAGTTCAAATTCAAGGAGGATGGGCCAATTAGAAGGAAAATATTGGCTATTTAACTATGCCTTCCCTTTAATTGCGCAATTAGAGAAACCTTTGATTTTGATATATTTAATTTTAAAGACACTCTTCAATGCTATTTTCAAACATAAGCCATAAATTAGTCCACATTCATGCTACTCTTTTTTTCTCCCCCATAACAAAGTATAGTTATGTTCATTTTTAAGGATTCACTAAAGTTAATATTAACTTTTGACTCTTACAAGTTGTAACGACACTTACAAATTACTGTCAGATAAAATTTTCATACATTCAAGTATATGAACCTATATTTTTAGGGGTGTTTTTTTTTTCCACCAACCCATTTAGTGGTGTTTTTTTTCCTTTTCCTTTTTATTTTCTGAAACTATTTGGAATTAAATATTTTTTACCAATTCAAATTCAAACACGGATGTGCCAATAGGAGGAAACTCATATTACAATTATTTTTAGAAAAAATATTGATGGAAGATTTCTGAGATGATTTAATATTTGACAAGAAGACTTCTAACAAGTAAATATTAAAGAGTAACAAGTGAGTAACAAGTGAAGTTTAACTTTTAACAAGTATTTATAAGATATTAAATTATTTCAGCGATCCTTTATTAATGTTATACATTCTTTTTATTCATAAGGTTGATGCTTGAGATTTTATTGAAAAAACATTTGAAGTCTTTTATTACTCATTCCAACTGTTCTCAAATTCTGTTTCTCCAAACCCATCGAAAGAAAGAATAGTGGAATTTGAGATGAACTCATCGAGTTGAAAGTTGAAACTACGGTCGTTTACTTGTGGCCCCATCAAAACTACGGGTCGTTTGAATGGAAATTGAAACCCAAGCCCAGCTTTCGACGTGTCATTTTAGTAATAAACGGAGTCAATCAGGGGTATTTACATAATTCCACTCGTTTAAAACCACGCGGATTGCCAGTATTTTCCCTTTACATTGCACACAATCTCCGTAATCTGTATACACGCAACAAAGCAGAGTACGGGAAAGCTCTCTCGTCCTCCTCCTCTCTTTCTCTCTCTAAGGTGTTAGTGAGAGAGACTCTGCTTCAAAAAGATTTTTGGTGAGGAGGAGACATTAATGGAGGGGAAAAGGTATGCGGTGTTGCTGTGCGCAGAGGATTCCGAGTACGTGAGGAAGAAGTACGGGGGGTATTTCGGGGTTTTCATCAGAATGCTGGCGGAGGAAGGCGAGACCTGGGACGTCTACAAGGTGGCGTCCGGCGACTTCCCCGAGGAAGACGGCGATCTCGACCTATACGATGGATTCGTCATCACCGGCAGCTGCAATGACGCTCACGGAAATGACGCCTGGATCCATCGCCTCATCACTCTCATTCAGAAACTCGATTCCATGAAGAAGAAAATCCTCGGTATTTGCTTCGGTCACCAGGTAATAAACTAATAAATCAATCAATCATTCATTCATCTTTCGTCGGAGATATCTGTACCGTTTCCATGATTCGATTCCGTTGGATATCCACGAACGATTTTCGAAATCGATACGGAAGTGTATCTTATTTCCCTACTTTTATTAAAACGAAAAATAAATTAAAAAAATATGTTCGTATAGTATGGCATGGTAAAAAGATATTTTAAAATGTAAGTAAAATGTATTACTTTCTTTTAAATTATAATATATTTTTAAAAAAGATTCAAATATTAAAATATAAGATATTTTAATAAAATTAAAATTTCACTAAATAAATTTATTTTAATATTATTTTTTGACTTAATAATTAAATAATGTAGATTTAAGGTTATTAAATAAAATATATTTTTAAAAGTTTATATTTTTATTTTAAAAAATAAAATTATTAAGTATTGACAATAATATTTACTGATATGTAAAATTTTGAATAAATTAAATGAATATTGAGAAAAATGTAGAATGTGTGTTGGTATTACCAATTTTTTTGCTTTTAAAACTAGATTTGGGTTTGCTTATGGACATGAACAAAATATGCTCGTATCATATGATACAAAAGACATTAAGAAAAGTAACCAAAAAAAAAATTATATAGCTTCTTTCGTTTCTTGAGGAGGCGTTTAGATTTGGAGATTCTTAATTAATAAATTAGTTGAATATAATTAGGGTAAACATAACTTTTAATTCTTGTATTTTATTTATATTTTGTTTTTAATTTTTATATTTTTTTTCGGTATCTTAAGTTTCTATACTTTACTTATAAAAAGATTGAAAATAATAAAAAATAAAAATATAAAATTTAAAATATTAAAAAAAATATAAAAATAAAAAATAAAATGTAAGTAAAGTGTATAGAATTAAAAATTATGTTTATCCATATAATTGGTAAAGGTTTTGAATGTTTGTTACCATTTTCTTTTGAAACTAGGTTTGGGTTAATTTGCTAATTGACAAAAGAGCTTTTGAATGAAGATAAATAAATTAGTCATTCCAATGTACAGTTCTGATAGGACGGATTTGAGGCAAGTATTGACGATGAAAAGAGGGAAAATTTTGTCCGCAAGGGTTTTCAACGTGGATGTTGCACGTGGGGGAAATGAATCAGTATACTGCATATAAAATTATAATTATTGAGCATTATTATTTTTACTACTGTTTTCTTCCTGAATGTTGTTTGAATTTCAAGTTTCGTCTAAATTTGAGTGTATTTTCTGTCAAATTTGGGTCTTTCTTATATTTTTTTTTCAATATATCACTCTACTAAATTTTATTTGTATATTTAATTATCTATGTATTTTTTATAACCGTATGTTTATTATCATCTCTTGAATACTTTAAAAACAAGATTATTTTGGTAGTTTGGTATTTAGTCATTAAATGAACAGTATATTTAATTTAATGTCACAATTAAAAATCTCACACGTTCAAACTAAATAAATAATTAAATAAACGAATGAGATAGAACATAAAAATTAGATATTGAGAAGGTGCTGAGATGGTCCTCCAAATTCGATTTCATATGGAATCCTTGTTCGCTCAGTCCAGTCTAGTACAATAATACAAGGGTCCTGTTTTGTTCCATAGTCCAGCCTCGTATCTGTTCGTTTGCTCGTAAGTTAAATTTTTCGTCCCCTTACCTCTAGATCACATGTGTGCTATTGTTTCTGTTCATGTTCATGGCCAACACACACACACACACACACACACAAATAGAAAATTACTTTTGTACGGACGCAAGTGGGATCTATCACTGTAAATTTGATCTCACGGTGGAACCTTAGTCAGAAGATATGGCAGTTTTTAGACAATGGAATCAGGATTCAGCATGCAGGCCGTACTAAAAGGCATGATGATATATTTCATTACGCTTCCCCCCCCCCCGGGTTTTCCAATCCTCTGGTTCTTAAAGAAACACTGTTGTTTTCTCAGGCTGATGATGATAATCTTTATTATTAACCTTAGGTAGTGACATCTTAGATCTTTCTCGAGTGTGTGGTTGTGGAACACGTACAATTTTTAAGATGTTTACGTCCGTCCAATAAGGCTGCTTGTTCCCATGATATAATGAAGTAACCCTAATGCTTTTTATTTTCCATTAGGAAGTGATTTATATGATCTTTTTTTGACCCTATCAGATAAATGCTGACGGGTGGTTGTGACATGCATTAATTGAACCATTTTGGCAGCAAAACATTGGAGATGAAATGAGATCCCCTTTATCACACGTCGGTTTTTGGTCAATTCCAAAACAGCAACGTCCATATCTACTACTTTTACTACTATTTCTTTAGAAAATTTTGACATGGATGATGATTATATATATATATATATATATATATTCTCCTTTTTAAGATTAATTACCATACTATTGAAAACCAGGTTAATCCCAGTGCCTTGACTGTTTATATAAGATGTATTGTTTATGGTTGATATGACTACGATTTTGACCCTTCACTCATCTTGAATGGTTGAATAACCGGTTGAGTTTTTAGTATGCTAATTATTAATTTGGGTTGGTGTGCTTGTGATCAGATACTTTGTCGTGCATTGGGAGGGAAGGTTAACCGATCTCCCACTGGTTGGGACATCGGTGTGAGAAGCATAACCTTATCATCATCGTCGCCATTGTCTCCGACGTCTCTCATGTTACCATCAAAGCTCTCTATAATCCAATGCCATCGAGATGAGGTCTCAACCTTTTCTTTTAACAAAAGTTATACTATGAATATACATCATCGTGTTTCCATTATTATTAAGGTTGATTGGTTATATATATATATATATATATATATGTTGATTCGGTGAGGAAGTTAATGAATTTGTGGATATGAAAGTAGGTGAGAGAACTTCCGATGAAGGCAGAGATTATTGCATGGTCGGAGAAGACGGGGATCGAGATGTTTAGGTTTGGTGATCACATAATGGGGATCCAAGGCCACCCTGAGTACACCATTGACATTCTTTTACACCTCATCGACCGTCTTGTTCAACGTGACCTCATCTTGGTATTTCATTCTTAACACTCACATTCATAGCTCACAGTTCAGCTGGCCCATGCTACTTGGTCCAAATCAACACATATTTTAATAATGTTAAGTCCATGTTAGTAAAACAAACTCTGTTTGAGCTAGCTCATGGTCCTTATGAGTATTTTTCAAACTAAAATATTGACATTGCAGATAGATCAAATAGACGGGATGGGGAATAACATAGATAAATTATAGGAATTGAAGACAAGCATGATTTATTAAATGTTTTTCTTGGTCTCCCTCTACATTTCTTTATAATGGGAAAGATTATTTTTGTTTGACTATTCTCCGAAGCACCTCCATCCACCTATTTAACATTTCTTTGATGACTTAGTATAATTATATAGCTTGATAAACTTGATAGCATATGAAACTTGTTGTCTGGGAATATATATTAATGGATGAATGTTTGGAATGACAGGAAGCTTTTGGTGTGGAAGCTAGGGCTAAGGTGGTGCTGCGAGAGCCAGATAGAGAGGCTTGGAAGAAAGTCTGTACCAGCTTCCTCAAAAGTCGCTCATGACCATTCAAGAAACGAAGAGAGATATTTAGCTTAAAAAAAAATGGTATTTTAGAATTAGTGAATGTGAATGAGAAGTAAAAATGGTGAATCATGAGAAGAAAGACGATTTGGAAGAACTGGAATAGTTTTGGTTGGGACCAGAGTGTTATAAATTAGGCTAAATTATACATGATGCTCTCAAACTTAATTTATAATCTCTTTAATTTTTAAAATTTTATAATGAATTCTCATCAACTTTTATATTTATGCAGATAATTTTATATACTTAATTTTAGATATTAATTATTTTATATAACTTAAAATTTAGTGAGGTTAACTGTATATTAATTAAAGTTTAGGAATTTAAATGCACATGAAAATAAAGTTTAAGGAGGTATATAATTAATAATTAAATGTTATTGGCATAAACTTAAAAGTTCAAAGAGATTTATTATTAAGTTTTAGAAGATTAAGAGGGTTATTTGTACATAATTTAAAGTTTAAAAGAAGTTTATGTCATTTAGCTTAATTTAAATATGTGAATTCAAAACGTAAACATGTGAGTGTTATATAATTGGATTTCTCCCTTCCTCCCCTCTTCCAATGGAGTGATTTTCCCATTTATCCTTCACATGCAATATCTTTTTATTGTTCTTCAGGAAAATCAGCCATAATTTTCAGAAATCATATTAGGAGGTCTTAAAAATTATAATTAATTTTTAGAAACATATTCTCAATTTCTAGAAATTTATTGATAATTTTTAAAAAATTAGTCTTAAACATTTTAATAGTACTCATTTTAAAATTTCATAGGAATTCTTATACATGATTACAATTTAAAAATCCTTTCATGTTTGGATTCTTTGATGCAATTTTTAAAAAATATTTCTCTATTATGCTTTCAAGTGTGGGATACATGCATAAACACATACTCATAGGAAACTTGTCGTAAATATCACATCTACTAATATAATGAATATTTGATGCAAATCTTCAAATTGATTAATTGAATGCCGAAACTTTTAAGCCCTATTTGATATGATTGAATAGTTTTTGATAGAATCAAAATTAAAATTAAAATTAGAATTGGATTATAAAAATATATTTGGTATGTCAAGAAAAATTAGATGGAATCCTTACATTACTTTTGCTTGGTACGTAAGACATGAAAATGAAATTATACTTAAAAGACAAAAATACCCCCTATATAAAAATTAAAATAAAACATAATAAAAGTTTAATTGTGTTTCAATTTTCTTTATTTTATATGTTAATAAAATATATAGATGATAGATATTATATATAAGTAAAATATTTTACAAAAAATATTTTAATTTAATCATATGTTTAGTATATAAATAAATATTATATAGATGATAAATATTATATATAAGTAAAATATTTCATAGAAGAAATATTATAAATACATATATCGTCCTATATTTTACACATACACACATATATTATAGTTTATATAAAGGCTTCCATACCCTTTTGTTTATTAGTTTTCAAAGCAAATTTTAATAAGTATATTTACTTAAAATAAAAAAAAAGATCAAAGTGCCCATTTTATTTTTTTTTAAAAAACTCATCCATTCTTTTGCTTGCAACCTCATCCATGAGACCATGACCACCTCAACTCCATCTGCTTAGTCACCATCACCAACATCTCTTGTTCGAACCAAGAAATGGAGCTAAAGCGCTTGAAAATCACAATCCTATCTACCACAAGTAAGATTTTGAAGTGAAAGTCAAGAGTGTCAAAGAGGTGAACTTTTGTCGGATCCGATGAACTTTCATCAAAGGGCCTCTTAGCCAAGACAACATTCATAGCAACGGACACCGATGAACTTCCGTCCAATGGTGCAACAGGTGACTGAAGCGAGGCTAGACAACTTACAGATCTAATGGCATTGATCCTGAAGTCGGAACCAGAGTTCCTTTCGTTGGTTTTCGAGTAATGGACTGTTCTTGCCAATGTTGGACACTTCATCATTCTTGCTGAATGTAAAAATTCATACTCAACTGAATAATTCATCTCAGAAAGGTTTCCTTGTTACACAATGCTTTCCTCGTTCTCTTATGGGCTTTAAATAGCCATCAAGAATGAGGCAAGAAAACAAGAAAGAATGAACTAGAAAACAATAAACCAAAACGCAAGCAGAGGCACGCAGGCCCATTAATCATATAAGCTTAGACCTTTACTTGACTAATGATCCAATACACTTTTAAATTTCAATACTCCCCCTCAAGTTAGGCTTGAAGATATTAAAAGTGCCTAACTTGTATAGCATATCCTCGTGTAATTTTTGACCAAGAGCCTTAGTTAAAATATCTGCCTGCTACTTGCTTGATGCACATGTTTTAAAGTGATCAACCTACTTTAAAGTTTTTCTTGCACAAAATGGCAGTTATTTCAATGTGTTTCATTCACTCATGATAAACTAGATTTGAAGCTATTTAAATTGCAACTTTGCTATCACAGTGAATGCACACAAGAGTTAAGTCATACACATGTAAGTCTTTAAATAAACCAGTGAGCCATATAACTTTAGACACAATACTTCCCATAGCCTGGTAGTCTGCTTCAGCAGAAGACCTTGAAATTGTAGTTTGCTTCTTGATTTCCAAGAAATAATTGACCCACCTAGTTTAACTAAGTAACCTATGATAGACCTTCGAGACTCTAGGCATGAAGCCCAATCTAAATCACAAAATCCTTCCAGCCTTAAATTTCCTATGGAAGGGAATAAAAGGCCTCTACCTGGATCCCTCTTAAGATATTTTACAGCATTTAATGCAGCCTTTAAATGTAATTTTTTGGGATTACTCATAAATTGACTCAACATTTGGATCGTGTAGCTTATATCAGGTCTAGTGTTTGTTAAATATAGTAATTTTCCAAACAAACATCTATATCTATTAGGATTTGGTAATAAGTCATCTTTCTCCCCTTTTTTTTGGCTCACTATAAAGTTTTAGACCAGGATTTATGGGGACATTTCTTGGCTTTGATGCTCCTAAGCCAGTGGTAGCTATCAAATCTAAAGTGTATTTTCTTTGATCGAGCATTAATCCTTTACATGATCTAGCAACCTCAATACTAAGAAAATATTTTAATGCTCCTAAATCCTTTATTTTAAAATTTGCATGCATGAAATCTTTAGTTTTCTTTATCCCCTTTTAGCTGTTTCCAGTTATTATTAGGTCATCAACATAAGCCAACACAATAATAAACTCATCTCTATCTTGTTTTGTAAATATTGAATAGTCATGTTTACTTTGAACAAAACCTCTTGAAATTAAAGCCTCACACAGCTTTATGTTCCACTGCCTACCTGCCTGTTTTAAACCATATAGGGGTTTGATTAGTTTACATACCCTTTTCTCCCCTTGTTTACTAAATCTCGATGGTATTTTCATATAAACTTCTTCATCTAAGTCCCCTTGAAGGAAAGCATTATCAACATCTATTTGAATTATGTTCCATTTATTATGTGCAGCAATAGTTAATACTGATCTTACAGTTGTCATTTTTACAACAAGAGAAAAGGTTTTAGTATAGTCTATTCCTTCCTTTTGACTAAAGCCTTTTGCCACTAACCTTGCCTTTAACTTATTTAGGGTCCCATCAGTATTATACTTCTTTTAAAAATCCACTTACAGCCTATTAGTCTCTTTCCTAGTGGTAGGTCTACCACTTCCCATGTCTTATTATTTTCCAAGGCAGTTATCTCATCTTGTATTGCTTTTATCCATCTATCATCCTTAATTGCTTCCTTAAAGGTGTCAGGCTCGCTTATGTCATCTATAATAGCTATGAACTCCCTATAAGATTGTGAAATATTTGCATAACTAATGCTGTGTTGCAAAGGGTACAAGATTTTCTTATTGCCTTTCCTGTCCATTTTATTTAGAAAATCTATCTTAGTACAATCATAATCCCTAAGCCAACCGAGCGGTCTCTTTTGTCTAATGGGTCTGTTGTTATCTAAGTTTTCATGTCTTTCACTTCCTAAGTCGTTATTGTTATTAGGTGTAATATTACTGTCATTAGATTCAAGGTTAGAATTATTACTAGGATGCATAAAAGAATCAGAAGGAATTGCAGGGGCAGGAACATGATAAAAAATAAAAGGATCTTGAAAACGTACCTGTTCCTGCTGGTTAGAAGTAGCCGGCTGTTTTGAAAAAGGAAATTGGTTTTCAAGAAAACAACATCTCGATTCACAATTATATTATCATTTTTAATGTCATAGAGAATATATCCCTTTTGATTACTTGGATACTCTAGGAAAGTGCATTCAACAGATCTAACATCAAATTTGTTTAATCTTCCAGGGATCTTAACATATGCTAGACAACCAAAAACTTTCATATTTGATAAGTCAGGCTGCTTCTTATATAATATCTCATATGATGTTTTGTAATCTAAGACCTTTGAAGGAATCCTATTAATGATATAAATAGTAGTCCTAACAGCATCCCCCCAAAACTGGATTGGCATACTAGCTTGAAACATCAGGCTTCGAGAAACCTCTAATATGTGCTGATATTTTCTTTCTACAACCTTATTTTATTGTGGGGTATGGACACAAGTGATTTCATGAACAATTCTATTTTCATTAAAGTATGTAGAGGCTAATTGATTCACGAATTCTGTTCCATTATCACTTCTAATTCATTTAACCTTAGTAGAAAATTGATTTGTTATGAGGGAAATAAATTGCTTTAGATAATATAAAGTTTCATGTTTATTATGCATGAAATAAATCTAGCTGGTTCGGGAGAAATCATCAACTATAGTGAGGAAAAATTTGTAAGCTTGATGAGTAGAATGTTTATAAGGACCCCAAACATCAACATGAAGCAAATCAAAGCAGGAATCAATTTTTATTTGACTGGAGGGAAAAGACAAACAAGTCTGTTTTGCTTTAAAGCAAACATCACAACCAGAGGAATTAATAGAAGACAACTTGTCTTGTAAAGGGATTACATATTTAAGGGCAGAATCAGATGGATGTCCTAATCTTAGATGCTAGATATTTTCATTGGAAATGGTATTACTATTATAAATGTTAGACGATGGGACAAGATTTTCATCAACCAAGTACAGACCAGACTCTACTCTACCAATTGTCTTAGTTCTGCTACTGAAGAGGTCCTGTAAAAACACTTGTCAGGAAAGAAGGCAACCACACACTGTTG